ATTAGAATTAAAAACTTAGAAAATGCAAAAAAAAAAAAAAATTATGGGCATAAAGGCAATAAATAGGTTTGAAATATTCGAAATTCGATTCAAGAATTGAAGCAATAATCAAATAACGATAAATTCTTGAATAAATTAATTTGAATAAAAAAACTTCATTATTTTTCTTTTCAATAATATCGTGATTATGATTAAGTCTTATGCTAATGCTCAGATTGAATTTTAAGCAGCGTTTACGTATGTACGTACCTGATTTTGGTGGAAATACTTGGTGAATTTATTTAACCAAGATTTTGGTGTCCAAAGTTAAATTTAATTCAGAATCAATTTTTGACTATTGAACTTAAATTAGAACCAGTTGAACCAGAAAGTCGGGTATTCAGTATAGTAAGGCAGTGTTGGCATTAAAACCTATGTGCAATAATTTTGAATGAGATTGGACATAAAAATTTTATATGGTTAAACTTTTCAAAAATTATCGTACGGGTCTTTTTCACTTACTTATTCGCACGAGTCTATGAGTCTATGAGTCTATATGAAATCACATGATCATATAGACCCGTGCAAATTTGAATTATTTGTTGAACAAAGAAGTTAAATAGGTATTACTTGGCAAAAAAACATTAGGAGGTTTCAAAATTAACAAATAAGTGACGCATTCCGAAAATAAGTACGTACGTCGGATTTTTTTATACTATGTTGAATTATAAATCGGAAAAATAAAAAAGGTTCTCTGATTTAATTCTGAAACCTCCTATTATTATGTAGTACGTATTTACTTAAAATTGTTATTTTCTTGGCAAACATTTATTAGGTCCGATGCATTTAAAACTGTTATTTGACTAATATGCAACATCTAAATGGTATTAAATGCCTGCAGATACGTAAGTCCTTGTGAGCCCACCTATATTGCATATTAGCCATTATTTTTGGCAAAGACATGATTAGGTAGGATATGTATACGTAAAATTATACAAAGATGTTATTAGGTCGATATTTTAAAATTGTTATTTCTCGGCAAAGACATTAACTAAGTCGGATGTATTTACAAAGACATTACTAAGTCGGATGCATTTAGAATCTTTATTTAGTGGGCGAAAGTATTATTAAATGAAAATGTTATTTATTGGAAAATATGAATAATATATTGGTTATATTTTAAATTAGTTATTGAAGAAAAATTGTAATACTTTCGTTTTTTACGATGTTTAAATGATCGACTATGATTATTTCGTTCGTTCGCTCTTCTTCGATCGTCACTTGCATAATTGATTATTCTTTATTTATTGATTGTATCGTTTGTTGGTTGCGCTAATGTTGCATTGTTTGTACGGTTTATTGATTGTATCGTTTGTTGTTTGCAGTGTTGGTTGTGCAAATATTGCATTGTTTGTACGGTTCGTTCTTTATCTTGAATTATTGGTTGGTGCTGATATTGGTTGCGTGTTCAAATTATCGATAGTTAAAGCTTTATTTGACATCTTTCAAGAAAGAATTATTTTAAAATTACAGCGCAATGATAAATCATATGTCAAATCAGTGATTATGTCATTGAACTAACGCTAACACTAAGGCCTATATTAGTCACATAAAGACCCGGTACGACAACAACTACAGGTGTTATTGTCTGCTACACACAATAACTATACATTGTTGGACACATGTCCAATGCCAACACCACTGTAATAAAGCTAGGAAGACTTTCCCTTTGCTCCGACCAATTATACGGACTATACGGACTCATTGTTATAATTTTTAACCAGTGCCAAATTAAAACCTGGATGTGAAAATTATCAATAAAAAATTATGTAAGGTATTCAGACGAAAAAATTTCGGTATCCAACGAGCGGACTTGAGCGAGATTTTACACTATTCAAGGAATCAATGTGGTTTAAGATAATCTTGATCCAAAATACAATTTTTCTTGAAACAATAGAGATTCTATGCAGGTACACAAAAGAAGATTACGTATTGACTTTGTCTAAATTATCTATACTGTACGTATAACATTTTAATTCCAAAACGGTTTGTTTCAGAATCAAATATTGAAAATAAAACATTTTTTGTTAATAGCTATTTGACTTTGTCAAATTACAATACTTCTTATCGTATCAGCCAGTTACACGTATATTGTGTATAAGAATTCTATTTTATTTTTTTGAAAACGAAACAAATTTTCATGATATTCTAGTTTAATTAGTACGAACGTACAAATAATTACTGTATAACAGCTTTATTACGTAGTACAAATTATTACTACGAACGTACGTATGTATTATTGCAACTTTACGTATTATTGGATACATAGTCGGATAAACCAAAAAAAGGTCTCGAGGCGTGAAAAAGGTTTTAACAAATAAATAATACATTTTTTTTTCATTCTATGTAGTAAAAAATCGATGATGTACCCAAAAATTGAATTTGTATGTAGATTTTTAGGGGGGGGATAAAACCTTAAGTTATTAATAACAGATTATCATTACACTATAACATGTTAAGTTAGTAGTGAATTCCGGAAGATAATAATTAGTTAAAATGATTGTTAAACAAATTTCTTTCGAAATTCTAGAATTTCTAGAACTGTTACACGATGAACGTCGAAATCTTGTTTAACCATTTCTGGAACTTAACTCCTGGTTTAAATGTTTCGCCGAATGTATGTATCGTCAGACTAAAAATAAGTTTGGTAAGATGTAACGTCATACTACGTAGATTCCAGAAAATTTTAAAGTTTTCCAGTAATTTGTCAAATCTAAGATAATATTAACGTTACATTACGTTTATTAACTGTTAAAACATGTTAAAACATGTACGTACGTATCAGTATGTACGTTTATACAGTATGTATTATGTATGAAACGATAACGTTAAAGAACAGAAGAATATTATCATGAGATATTATGATACATGATGATAATAATCAAGTGATAAAAAAATCACTTCATTATATTGATATACGTATATGCATGCATCAATTTTGATATGTAAATCAAAATTTTGAAATCGGTTTTTAGGACATTTACAGCCATTCATTTGTCATCAAGCATATCGGATATGCAATGTCGGAAATGATATAGTGGTCTAGACCTCATAATTTAGTGATCGGGTTTATCGTTATTATTACGGCGGACGAAACATGAACCCGGATAGCAGATTTGTTCTACCTAAAAGATTAACCATGTGGAAGAATCTAGTCACATGTTACTAAATTTAAATTTTTTTTTTTTTTTTAGTGCGTGCGTGTACGTACGCACGCTAAAAATATATGCAAATTATATATGTTACATATATAGAAGCATGTGATAATAACCACTAAGTTTGCATCACCGGCTGCCAAGAAGCTTATACATAAAATTATCTTATTTACATACTTATATACGTACGTACGTACGTACGTACATACGTACGTATAATAATTTGTTTTGGTACAAATCATAATTTCATTTAATTTTATTCAAGCTAAATTTATTCAACGGTGAAATTAAGCATAAGGTTTCACCAACAAACACGCGAAATTTTGAAAAAAGGGTTTTTATATAACGAAAAACAAAAAAGTAATTGATCATGCATGGATTGTAAACATGGTCAATGCGAATCAATCAAAATACAGAAATACGGATAATTTGGAAGAGAATATTCTTGTGAATTTTAATAAACAATGTAATTAATGTACGTTTTTTTTCAAGTGATCAATTTATTTTTATTAACAATATAAACAAAAGGATTGATTTTTATTAATATGTTTTTATTTAAATCCCTTATTAATATCCATATGTGCACAGTTGCGCTCAGTTACTCCGCAATTAACCGATAATTAACCGATTAAAAGTCTAAAGTATTATGTGTTGTATGAATAAATGAATTACGTATGAGCAAATGAATTGTAATTAGTATCAATACCGATACGTAAAAATAATTAATCATTTAAGGAATGCGCTGAATTACTTTTTTTTAAAAATAAAGAGTTTAATCTCTGATTGTCATGATCTGAAAGCTAGAATGAAGTGATTTATTAATACAAATTTTAGAATTATCTAAAATTTATATTTACCATTTAAATCAATTCATTTCTTTTTTAAGATAGAAAATAAGCCCAATTTTCCGTATACGTATGTTTTCACGGGGCGGTTTAGTCCGTATAAATATACTTCACGGGGTAGTCGCCTCCGTATAATCGTATTCGACACATAGTACGTAATGCATACGTAGTAAGTACGTACGTACGTACCGTATTGTACCTACGTACGTACCTACGTAGGGTACGTACGTACGTACGTAAATGCGGAGTTGCGTAGTTGAAAATCCTACAAAGCCTCGCAAAGCCCAACGGGCTAAATTCTTTAATCGTTACCCTTTTAACTACTAAACAAGGATTTTTAGACTAAACAAGGGCTTGTAGATTTTTATCTTAATTTAAATAGCCAAAAATTATATCCTTCGTTTAGTGATCAATATCGATAATTTTTTTTATTATTCGAAAAATGCAACAAAGGGGGGGGGGTTGTGTCTGCCTCAATAGTGCTTAGCTTTGTATGTACTGTATCAAGTAATTCGTAGTACAATACACGAAACTAAATCAAACTCCGTAAATTTATTTTGTGATTGGTATTCTATTTTTGGTTGTACAAAAAGCCTTTTATGCAAATGAACATTCTAAACTTCCATACAGAAAATCCTCGATAAACAAATTTACTGATTGTGGGGCCACATTGGTAGTACAAGAATTCTAAAAAAAAAATATAAATAGGATAAAATATTCCCAACATTTACTCAATATCCAGTCGTGAGATTTACAAAAAAATAAAATACAGCAAATCACAAAGACATAAAGAATATACAAATATACTCAAATTTAATATTCAATAATATCTTTTTCAAATTTCAAAATAAATCAAATAAATCAGAAAATGACACAAAACATAATACCAGTAAATTTCTGCACAGACTGCCCATCAATATATATTTTTCCCGATAACGCTATAAACGAAGAGCCCTCGGAAATGGAAGATAGTTTGTTGGAGTATCCTGTTCCTTCTATAATAGATCGTAGAGTAGAACGTCATAAGCAACGTCGTGCCATATATGAGAGAGCTGGCCGCCTACCAAAACCTAGTCTTTCTGCACTTAGTTCCGGTAGTTCTAATAGCAGTAGTTCTAGTAGTTCCAGTAGTTCAAACGGGTCTAATAGTTCTAATAAAAAGTCTACGCATTCCACCCATTCTTCAACCTTAAATTGATTCTCTTATTATGCGTTCATCAGAAACTATACCCTAATTATATGGAACATAATGGCGGCAATAGCAGCAGTGAAAATTATACGGGTGGAGTAATAGACAAATTTTTGTTTGCAATTATGTCTGCTCATGTCTGTGAAAATTTGTAAAGTTGGGTCAAGATTGGAATTTGGCATAATTTAAATCAAAATTTTGTAAGGTTTATGGTCGTAATTTTCGTAATTTCATCCCATAATTGCCACTCTCCCCAGTTTTTTATCCATATTTTAAGAGAGAGGATGCTATTTCGCTTTACACTGTGCAGTGAGAGGTCACTTGATAATGAGGTTGTTTGCATCATGAAATGATTATAGGATTGTTTGAAATAATTGCAAGATTGTTTGAAATGATTGTTGGGGAAATATTTTGAAAATGAAAAAAAATATTAAAACATTGAACAATGAAAAAAAAAAAGTCTTTCGTTTCTTGTTATTCTAACATTTATGCATACTTGGCATTTGTAATATTTTTTATTGCATTATAATAAAAAAAAATTAAATCCAAACTATATACGTTCACGAAATTTAATCGCGTTTAACAATATAAACTAAGAATAATAAAATACATAATAGTTTATTATTATTATTATTATTATTATTATTATTATTAATTTACTATTATTATTATTATTGTTATTATTATTACAATTATTATAA